TATAAGTAAGAATAGATAATCACTGTACGTATTTAAATAGTAGTTTGTGCAATAAGAGTGGATATAATCCACTCGAGTTGAACAGTATTTTTTTTTTCGACTCACTAATGAAAATCTACAAATTTTAAAAATTATTTTAGGTTATTAAGACTAAATAACTAATTTTAAAACAATTTATGAATTTTACTAATTTATAAAATAAAATAAACATGAACAAAAAATAGTTTTGAGCCCAGATTCTCGTAATTAAATTAGTTTTATATAGTTTGATTAAAATTTTATTTTTTTTTAAATGTGACCCAAATAAAAATTAAAATGCTATTATATGTTTATTCTAAACAAAAATAACTTATTTTAATATATATTTGATTTAAGTAAATAAAAATTATACTGACAATTAGTTTGACAGAATTGTGACTTATTTGAAATTTTAAAAATAAGAGTAGTTGGGTGTCCAAAATATAAACAGTGATTGGTGTATTTAATTTTTTTGCAATGTTCTTTCTACCTTGTTTTGTAATTAAGCCTTTTATTAAGCTCGTTTATTAAGCCTTTATGTCGATTTACTATCTTGGTTACAAGTCGTAATTAGATTGGAAAATTATTCATACACGACCCACTAACGAAAATCTTCAAATTAAGAAAAATAACTTTTTTATAATTAATTTATGACTTTTACTAATTTATAAAAAAATATTTTATTTAATCTTCTATTCTGGATTTGAACCCCGAAACTTTCGTATGGAAATTCAAAACAACATAAATTTAAAGAAACATTACTATATTTTACATTTCGAATGAGACTTTACAGTCTACAATCCAGCACATGTCAAATGGGTAAATAAAAGTCCGTGAATAAAGATGAAGATTCATATTTTGTTAATGTGGTAAGGCAATTTAATGTTTAAGTTGAATAAATAAATTATCTTCAGAGTAGAATAGATAGTTGACTATCTCTGTTATGAAAACGCATTGAAACACATGTCATTTAATGCTTTGTTGAGCCCGGGAAGTAGTTGTTTTGAGTTATAAGGCGACCGCATAATCACTATTTGAAATTAAAAGCGGATTTCATACATAAATAAAAATGTCAAATTTACGACTATTCAAATTTGTTAATTTTAAAAAAGTGCCTGCTCATTTTTTCCTAATACCTAAATTTTATAAATCTTCCCAGCAAACAATATAATTTTTGTAAACAAGAGCTCCTAACAATTCAAAGCAAAATATCCAAGCTATGCGAGGACTAACGATTGTATTTGCTAATCAGATACGTCAGCTGTTATAAGTGACAATTCTGTCAAACTAATTTTCAGTATATTTTGAAGTTATTGAGATGAAATATATTTAATAAAAATCGGCCAAGTGCGAGTCGGACTCGCGCATGAAGGGTTCCGCATCATCGTTTATAGTAGGGGAGCCTTCTAAGAGCCCCCTTTAATTTTTAACTTATTTTTATTATTTGTTGTTATAGCGGCAACAGAAATACACATTTCAACTGCCTACCTATCACGGATCATGAAAAACACCCCGCTGACAGACAGACTGACAGACAGCGGAAACTTAGTAATAGGGTCCCGCTGGTTTCCCTTCGGGTACGGAACCCAAAAAATGAGTTATTCAATAAATAATAGCGATAATTTCCTGACCGTACTAGAATTTTATATAAATAAAAAAAATGTAGGTTTCTTTGATCATGTTTTTATTTTCGGGTGCAGTCAAAATTTAATATAACTAGGGGACGATTACAAACAGTTTAAAAAAAAAATTAAAATAACAGAAACGCCATCTTTCGAATACACCTTGACACGCTGAAATAGAAAGATAGGGTTTCTGTTATTTTAATTTTTTTTTTTTGAAACTGTTTGTAATCGTCCTCAAGTTTAATTAAATTTTGACTGCACCCGTAGGTAGAAAAAATGTTTCCGAAACATGTAGTGCTGTGCTAAACGATAGAAAATAAAAACATGACCGAATAAACTTTGAATTGATTTGATCTTTTCTAATTTTTAGAGCCACAAACCAAGGTTTAACAGTTTTTCTTGGGAATGGTCCCATTAGGCTTGCTCTTTGTTATTCACTTTTGTTTTTACACAGTATTTGTAGTCGGATGGAACCACTTCAGTAACACGTTAGCAACTATAACCTTACTTTAAATTACCCTCACTCCTCCACTATTCAAACCACCTAATCCCGTCCTCTTTTTAAACTGCGCATGCGCAAAATAGCTCTAAAATTGGATGACCTAACCTAACGAGAGATATCAAAAATTGGAGTCGCCATTTTTGTCCGACGCGTCTACAGTGTTGCCAACCTAACATATCAAAAACCTGTCAACACTGTTGCCAACCTAACATGTCAAATTTAAGCTGTCAATTGTTGATTTAACTAACGGGGATAAGGTGTTCTATAGGCAAATAACATGTGTCAACTGTCAAAAAGTTGAGAAACCTAACACAGCCGCTAGTGACTTGTCAAAGAGTACTGCTATTCTTTTGATAGTTGACAGGTTATAATACATTTAAGATATGTTTAGTTAGCTTAGGTTGGCAACAGTCGCTGTGACAGGTAGTGCCATCTATCAGACACCAGTTGGAACCGCCAACTTTTTTATAGTTGACACATATTCTTTACCTATAGATAGACCCACCTTATCCCCGTTAGTTAGATCAACAGTTGACGGCTGAAAGTTAACATATGCTAGATTGGCAACATTGTTGACATGTTAGGTTACACTATTGACGCGTCTGTCAAATATGGCGTCTGCATTATGTTAGACCGATTCTTGACATCAGTCTTTAGGTTAACTACGTGTCTATCAATTCTTACCGTTAGTTTATATTTTAAAAATTGATATATGTAAGATTAAAATTTTGACATTTCTCATTAGGTTAGGTTAGTCAAGTTCGGAGCTATTGTCGTGTATGCGCAGTTTAAAAAGGGGGCGTGGCTTAGGTGGTTCAAAAAGTGGCAGAGTAGTCCTAAGTAACGCTATGCCAGCTGGGGTTCCCTTACAACTCGATCTGCGTCTTCGTTTCCCTTAATGTGTGAAGGGACTCAGATGAAAATTACTTCCTTGCCAATAATGCCAGTGCTTTGAATGAGATGTAGTTGTTCTTTGATGAGTAGTGTTATAGGACAACTGATATACATATTATTAAAGGATTTCAAGAAACTTAGGGAGTTCGATATTATTACAAACTGTAACTCATTTCTTTTTCCGATGAGGATAAGAGCCTACAGAATTTTAAATAATTTACCACTATAATACACGGAAGTGGTTTCGGGTAAATATTACATTTGAGTATCATTTATGCTTATTACTGCAGCTCCTACGCCATTCGGTATTTTCAATGAATCTGTATAAATTTTGATATGAGAAGAATAAAAATTCACAAGGTTAAGAAAATTATATTTAATTTAATTAGAGTTTGTAATGTGTTTGTCAAAACAGCTGAAATTAAAATGACTCTTTGGATGATTTGGACATTTTTTTAAGAACATTTTAGGTACACTGATGTCTAGATCACTACTGTATCCATTTATCCTTTTTATGCTGTATCGATCAAATTACTAAATCGATTGCTAAAGGTATTATTGTATGTTGGATGAGTTTAGTTGGACAATATCTTGGAGGCATATGAGAGACTGAGAAACTCTCTTCGCAGAATAAGCTAGAAATAGGACTGGTACAAACACTGCAAGAGTCAAACGAACGGCAGAGTTATGAATAGTGTCTAGATGTATAAGTACAGTATTGGAGGATGACTTATATGCAATTGAACCATGATTAATTTTAGACCTGACCATTGCTCTATACAGTCTTAGAAGGGTAGTGGAGTCTAAGCCCCATGTTGTATTGCTTAACATATTTAGTATATTTAGTTTTTGTTACCTATACTATTTTACGAGATTTAAAATGTGCTGTTTAAATTTAACTAAAAATCGAAGATGACTCCAAGAAAGTTAACAGTTTGGACATAGCTAAGATATGCATTGTGTAATTTAAGGCAAGGTTAATTACAGTTTTTATTTTTTGAAAATATTAAATATATGGTTTTTTTTTCGGTTGAGAGTCCTGTTTCTTTTGAACAATTTTTTATTAGATTTAAATGTTTTTGAATGATTCATACAATCGAGGGTATTTATTCCCTTTGGCTATGAGAACTAGGTTATTAGCATATAATTTATACTTTACTGGAAGTGTAGATGTGCCAAATCTATTATTTATTTCTGCCAAAAAGAGTGTGGTAGTGATAACTGATTGATTGACTTTTACTCTGGAATTTCTGTTTTGGAGAATCTTGTTAATGTAAGACAACTTGCGACCCTGACTACCTCATTTCAATAATTGTTTTAGAATCTACTATAAAGGTGTTGTTTTCTGGTATGTAAATTACTAGAAAACATAACACATATTAAGGATATTGGCCCAAAGGATTATACATCCATTTCAGTTTTGCTCTGTTTTAATATTGGAACAATTATAGCTTCAAACCAACCTGTTGAAAATTTAAAAAACGCTGCTCTTACGCACAGTAAATAATAAATAATCAATTTACATAAAAAATATATATATAAAAGATATAGTTTACTAATTCGACTACCACTTATTTTTTTTTAATATATGTTCACTTTTAAATAAAAAAATTTAATTACTTTGACTATCTTCCAACAATGTCACGAATATGAAAAGAATAATAAAATTTTCTATTAACTAAAATCTTAAAATCCCAACCTTCCGAAGGGCAAACATTTCAGTTCGACGCTCAAGGTCGACCAGTTCAAGACAAGCCATTTTTGTATCCAAATTCATTGGCGCCATCTTTTTGCTGTATTTTTATCCTTTCAATGATACTACTAGTGGTTCTTTATACAATGGTTCTTGTAATAGCCAGTCTAAAACGGCATCTAGCGGACTGTAGTTCATTTGTTAAGCCGCTATTACATTTGTCTTCGATGGCTGCCCTGGGAGAGCATCCTGAAATAATTGGTGATTGGGAAAAATAATGCACTAGAGATCATTGAACATACTATATTAATTATCAAAAGGGTCAGTAAGAATTTTGGTGACAAGTGGCAACACTGCCAAAAACATGCCGGTATTGAAAGCAAGCGATTTACCTATGTTATATTTCACAATTCAATAAGAGAAAAAAAGGGGAAACAAAAAAGGTCCAGTTGCAGGCCTTGCACCTGTGGGTAGGCTCCCTGCTTACAAACTAGCACTTACACCGTGAGTTCAACTTCTTACAATGGTTTGCCGGCATATACGCACTAAGGCGGGAAACCCACACTCACTCGATGTAGAGACTTCACGTAGTTTTTTTGATGTCGCGGGCCGATAATCCGGGGTCGAGTTCGTTAAGGGGTGTTGCGAAGGCACTACTTTTCGCGTGTACAATGAACGCAGATTTTTTCTGCTTGAGCATGAGAGGCGCGCTTAGAGTGTTAGAAACATACTGTCGTCTTTACTCGTTGAGTGTTAGAGACGCACTGGCGTTATTCTCTCACCGACTCGCGTTAAAGCCTTTCGTTTGGCCAATCAGAGAGCTTGATTATGGAGGGATTATCTAATTATTATTATTATTTATGTGTGTTGTTTATTATTTTATCTATTAGAATTATTTATTAGGGCTTGTGCATTGTTATTTTTATTTTTAGGCGTTGGTTTTTTTATTATTTATGAAATAAAAGTTTATGACGTTTTCAGCCTTTGGCTGTTTCCGTTGTATATATTTCTTGTGTCTGTCAAACGTTCTGTTTGATATGGCGGTTTGAATTCAAATTCAAACAGTTCTGCTAAATACAACAATAAAATAGTAACCGGACCTGATAAAGCATGGACTTTGAAATCAAATATCACAATAAAAAGCACATATACAGATTCGAAACTGAAGGTTACCCGATTTAAATTAAGCTATTTTTGACTCGGCATCCATTTTGCTTCAATGATTATACTACTAGTTGTTCTTTATGTTACGATATTATGATAATGATTGATTTTTTTGTTGCAGGGGGCATAGACTTGACGAACCGCCACTGGTGGCTGATCGGTACGGTCCTGCTGTTAGCTGCAGCTGCGGGAGTCGGCGTCCCTATAGCCTTAAAGATTAGCTCAAGTGCCTCCTTTGAAGAACGTCTCGAATTCGCTACTAGGTAAGGGAAATCATACAACAAAGGAATTTATTTAATAACTCTCTTCTGCGAAATTTTATGAAAGCTTCATAGTAGATATAATAGATTGTTATATTGATCTTTTTCATTTTACATGAATCGGTTTATTAGACTGTGCAAAAATGAATATATAATTTTTATTTTATTAAAGTTACAATGTCAAAATAAGACGACAGGAAATTTATTGAATTTTCAAACATCTACAAAAATAAGAAATATTAATATCTACCAAGAATTATTTTCAATAGTATCAAAAGAAATAAGAATAATGGTTAAAAACTGCAATGTACTAAGCCGTATTTCATTTCTTGTTTATGTACTTCTATTATTCTATTTGTTTATTTCTTTCGCTCTTTCTTCATCCTTTGCAGTTGTAAGTCATATTATAATATTTTTCTTTGTGGTGATCTAAGCATAGACTATTTCCTACGACCTGAAAGTCATCTCTATATTCTTTAAAAGGGTTTTTATCGATAAATCATAACTAAAATTGATTATATTTGAACAAATTTTCATTTAAAGGATCATAGAATATTTTTTCCCGTTATAATCTAAATGTAGATAAGATATCATGTTTCTCAACATTTTAAGCGAAAATTTAGATTTACATTATCCAATAAAAATAGAAGAAACAAAATACGAGGAAATGAGTAACATCCGAAGTAAAATAGGCTAGCACCAAGTTAAAACATCTATATTGGTTATGCAAAATGTGGGAGAAAGTGCCTCTTAGATGGTTAATAACAATTAAAAGAAGCTTTAACGATCTGCTCATAGACAATTTAAACAATAGGGTTAGAACTATCTGGAATTTAGTAAATATTACAGAAATTAGCATTATAAAGTTTAATTTCTTTTACTTCAAGTATTTTTAATAAAACCTTATTCTTTACACTAGTAACTTGTGATTAAGTTAAAGATAATATTAAACATTTTAGAAATCAATAAAGGTAAGGAATTAACATCTCTTCAAAGATTTTTAAAGCGGGCATTCATGCTCTTTCAACCTCATTAAGTTATTTTTAAAATTTATCAGTGAAACAAGGTTTATTTTATAATTCTAAAATGCCAAAGTTATTTCCATTTTTGAAAAGGATGACCCAGAAAACAGCCAACTATAGGTTCGTATCGGTGTTAAGAGTTACATTAAAAATTGTAGAAAATATTGTTTATAACAGAACGATGATCCACTTTCTTTACACTTACAATCTAATTTCAACCTATTAACATGAATTTAAGTAGCTGCTTGTATTTTTTTTTTTTTGAGTATACTCACAGTGAGCTTGATGGTGAAAGGCACAAGACTTGTCTTGTTTTTACTTGTCGCGTGTCTTTTTTACGATCGCGGAATTTTTTAGACTGGATTACAGAATATTTTAGTAACAAGAAGAAGTAAAATTGAGGATCCCATTTCCAAATACCATGAGCTTAATATAGTAGTACCTCAGGGATCAGTGTTGGGACCGCTATTTCTTCTTGTCCTAAATAACTTTCCTGACAACATTAATTCTTAAAACTTAGTTATCCCAGAGGCTTTCAAAATAATTGATTTCACCACAACTATAGATAAAGAAACACACACAGACATTTTCCTGAGTCGAAAATATAAAAATTATAATCTAGAAGAAAATATAGACCATGTCAGTGCTTTCCCTCATTGCTTACATTTCCTTATGCTTACACATACACATTTAGTGGGTATAATTCTTTAAGAAAGTTTTATTTAAATGCGAATACAAAGCAACCTTATAACTGAAATGATAAGCTTATTATGAAATAGGGACCTGATTATTTGAACTAATTTAGCGCCATCTTTTTATCTCCGAATTAATCTGTTATGCAGTTTTAGGAAGTTTTTTTTTATATGTAAGCTAATATTAAAACAAAAATGGCTGCTTTCAATGTCCTCCAAAAGTTACTTCAAATGAGCTTTTAAGGAAAATAATGGAATTGATTTCGATCTATTCAGTGACGTTGGTCGCTTTAATATATAGGATCTTCTCAAAGAAAAATATTTTCATCATCGGATAATTATTACTGCTATAATACACTTTCAATTTTTTGGTAAAAATTATTTTTGAACAATCCGTTACAGTTAGAGACACCAAACACCTTTATTGAACATTATTTAGTTTTTCTTTGTAATTTTGGTTAAAATGTCTCTGAAAAAACATTGTGTATTATTATGTTTAATGCTGCTTTTGTATTATAATTGTATTTAATAATATATGTAATGTATGACCCATTCAATAATACCATCCTCATATTCTTCTTGTTTATGTTGTTTATGCCCTTTTATTACTAATTTCTCTTATTATGTATCTAGATTCATGTATTCATGGTAACCTCTTCCAGCTAGTCTCCTTTCGTTTATTTCAATAACATGGCAAACGTCATTTTTACTTTTTTCTTCTATTCTCTTTTTCATCTTTATTTTCTTTTATGAATAAAAATAGAGAAATAAACGATAGTTCTGTATCTTACTAGTATATTATGTTTGTTATTTAGTGAAATATTAATATGTTGAGAGTTGAGACACCAAAACCGTGATTTAAAATATTGACTATTATTTACGAAATACTCTCTACTTGTATTTAAAAGAACCAAAAGAGATTAACACTCTCTATATTTTCCTCAGGTTACTTCAAGAAGTGCCTCTAATAGATGGACATAACGATCTTCCGTGGAATATAAGAAAATTCCTACACAACAAACTGAAAAACTTCAAATTTAATGAAGACTTGAGGAACGTGTCACCGTGGTCAACAAGTGCGTGGAGTCACACGGACTTAACGAGGTTAGAACAGGGCCATGTTGCAGCGCAGGTAAGTTTTTGAAACATTTTTTGGAAAAATTTTACTTTTTATACAAAAAACATTCGCTGACAGCATTTTCTTAAATATTGAGTTTCTATATTTTTTTCTACTCTTCGAATTCCCCCATCCGCTATGTTACGTGTCCGTAGCAAGCGTAGCGGCTCTTCATCTCTTAAGTAGAAGAAATTATATAAAATATATTTACTTCAAATATGTAAACAATAGTGCTGTTATTGTCCATATAATTGAAACAACAACATTTAAACTATATTGTTTAGAGCTCTAATTATGAATGCGTCTAAAATGGAGCTCAACCCTGAATAGTGTAGATCGGTTGCCATGCTTATTTTTCCAGTTTTACAGGTGTATTTTTGGGTTGGCAACGTTGCATTCAAGGTGGGATGGTACCAAATCACTCCAAAACATCAGAGAGTTCCGCACGCATGTCATCAATAGTATTAGGAAAGAAAATATTAGAAGTAGGGGATAAGCAAGCAACAATTGACAACAAAAATTTAAAAAAATTAACAAATAGAAGAATAACTGAATTAAAATAAATAAAAGTACCTAAAAAAACATAAACCACTTCTCAGAATAGTTGAAGTGTGAATTTGTTTCAAGCTTATTTTATTTATTTTATTTAAAAATCAAAATGATACACTTACTTGCAGGGGCGGCTAATCTTTTAAGCCGCATATTCGTGTGCCTTTCTTCAAAAATACCAGGGATAGATTTTTTTTCCTATCGTCTCGACACATGCTGTGAGTGTTATTTATGACGTCTCTCTTTGACTGGACTATCATTGGAAACGAAGTGGGACAAGCGCTAACGAGTACGTCTTGATGTTGGCTGTTTTAGTGCAGATTAGGGCGCAATTTTTTCGCGGCCGGCCAACATTAAGAATTTAGATGATAATGGGTCAGTTTACTGGCCTGTTTTACTTTTTTAAAGTTGTTTTATGGTTTTCACGAAATTTTTACAAAGCATTACGCTAAATGATAGACTAAACCTCTTATCTATGATATCAATAAATATAAATTTAGTACTGGAGATAAATAATTTCGACGAAAGTCATGAAAAAAATCGTTTCAATGATGTATCGCAGAGCAGATTTCAATTTCATGAACTTTCGTAAAAGCAATATAAATATGTCGATTTTCATATTTAATTTTTTTAGAATAATTATTTTTGTAAGATGTTTTTCTATAAGAAATATGTTTCATTTTGTTTATTGACTACTGACAAGATGCAATGTGTAGTGTGATATTTTTTCTATGTTAATGAAGAAATAAAACAAATAAAAAATGTTTTTTCATAATCCCCGCCCTCAAGACAATTGGCCCCCCACTCACTTTAGCTACTCATGACCGGCCACTGCTTACTTGCATTTTTTCTAATTATGGTATTGCGGGTAATTTTTTATTTTTATCAGTACTTCAAGAACAAGTTTAAACGCAGGTGTTCTAATTACATTTGAATTCTTGAGTTTTATCGAGATACATTGAAAAATATTTGTGACTACAATTACAATAGTTAATCTGACCTCAAATTATTGTTTAAAAAATTCAAATGGGATTTTATAGGTGTCGGAAACTCTGAGTTTGCAATAATTTTTTGTGCTCGGGTGTGCCTGAGTTCAGTAAGACAATGATACACAAAGTCAATCCCACATAAAATAAATCCCCACATAAAACAAATCCCACATAAAATAAATCCCGCATAAAAATCTCACTTAAATTCACTGCCACATTAAATTAATTTTATGTGGAATAACAATAGTGGTAAATAAGTATATTAATCTGTTTATTTGTACGATTTTTAAATTCTCCCTTTATTCCACGATAAATTAATTTTTCTTCATGTCAGTATCGGCCCAATGTTGGGAACCCTAATTGGTATATAGCAAATTATAAATTAGCATAAGTATCTACATATAATGTGGAAAATTCCCTTGTAGATGAACTGGAAACTGTATCAACTGTTTTATTAGACAATAATTATCAACTCCAGGAAACTATGGTTCCACAACAAAATGAAAATGTAGAAGAGAATGACGATAAACAAATGAACACCGACACATCAACTAAAGAAACTGCAGATAAACAAAAAATGAAGCGAAATCCCAAAAAACAAAACAGGCAAATACTTCTTGAAGCTACGAAAACTTATGAAAATGCCCAAAAAATATCATCTCATGTAAAAAAAGCAAAATCAGTAGGCATCTGGTAATAATGTTGCTAAAGCTATAGAGCATTTCACAGTGGATTTTAACTACTTTAAAATTGAAATATTAAGACACGAACAAATCAAATAAGCCAATGCATTCCAGTATTTGCAGTTTATTTTTGTACTTACAAAAACATTATTTGAAGTTAATTATAGATGCATTTTTTGATCTATGTGACATGAGTGTGAAATTAAAAGTTTTCATTTTGCTGATATCAATAGCTACCAGTGTTTATATTTTGTTTTGTTTTTAGGAGTTTAAATACAAAAATATTAATTATGCTCAATTAATTATAATTATAAGATATAGGAAATGCATTTGATTTGTGTGTCAGGGGTAAAATTAAAAATTTCCGCTAAAAATTTACTGAAAAAATAGAGAAGAGTCAGTATCTAAAAAATAGATAAAATAATTTGACTGCTGTTAAATACACACACGCATACCATCAACTCTATTGAAATTTTTGTCCTCCTTTGCTCTTCATCAATATGAGGTCTTAAAATTTCTATGAACTCTCTTGTCAGGTTTTGTGACAAATGGTAATACCTGATAAAAATATGATCTGGTATTACAAATGGATCCGTGTTTTCTCGAAGAAATCTTCTCTGCTGATTGATTCAACTTGTCTCTTTAAGTGAATACATATTTATAATTTAAGATACCTACTTAATTTTCATTTTTATAATAACCTTTGATGTTCATACTCCAACCATTCAAGAAGGTCTAAATTACTTAACCCGCGCATTTTAGAAAATGTGATCACAGAAAATCCAAAATTAATTTTAAAAAATCTGATGTGTCCAACACGATTTTCCTGTCTAGTTATTAAAGGCTTTTTCCGGTGATTTTGTATGACCCTTTTGTATGACTCCTGTAAGTGTTTAGAGGATAAACTAGATATATACATTTTCCACATACATCTTACTCTAAACATTTTTTATATATATTCATTGCCAACGAAAATACTGAAAAATAAAAATTTTAAACATTTCTTCCAATTTTTTCATTTTGGTCCATTTTAGAGAAATCATGTATAAAACAAACATTATGGAGATCGATATCGCAAAAACCTTCTTTGAAAAAATCAGAATTTTACTCATTTTATCAAATTTCTCAAATACGGACCATTTTAAGAAAATGATATATAATGATATAAAAAAATTATAGAGAATAACATTACAAGCAACTTTTATTTAAATAATTTTCTTCTCCAAGCGTAAATAACAGATATATATGATAAAGTAGAAAACTGACCTTCTATAAAGTACTCCCAGATTTTCCGACTATGCACAAAATTTAATTATTTTACTGCAGAATGTTTTTCTCTTTATCAGTTTTTGAGTTTTCTTCGAAATTCGAAATTTACACTTTTTCTCAAATATCTCGAATACGGTCCATTTTACATTATGTATAGGATAATGGTACGTTTACATCTTACATTTATTGCATAATATTTATGTCTAACAGTTGTTTAGTCTAGTGTAAACACACAAAAATTTCTCTCGGAGATATATGTTTGAGTGTTTACACTGGACTAAACAACTGTCAGACATAAATATCATGCAATAAATGTCATATGTAAACGTACCTTAAAGAATTATAGAGAATGATATCACAAACAACTTTTATTTAAATAAAATTCTTAAAAATTTGAATTTTTACTATTTGTCAAATTTATCGAATACGGACCATTTTAGGAACATTTTTTATAAAAAAAATTATAAAATAATATTAGAAATAACTTTCATTTGAAGAATTTTCTCTTCCAAACGTAAATAACATATATTCTTTAAAACATAAAAACGACCCCCTCAGATGTTTCGACCCCGCCCAAAATATAATCAGCTTACCACAGTGTGGAATAGAGCTTAAGGTTACAATTTGGTATTTTTCTATTTATTCGTTTTAGAGTTTTCTTCATAATTCGAAATTTACACTTTTTCTTAAATACCACGAATAGGTACAGTCCAATTTAGAATATGGATTAAGAATAATAGAGAATGCTTTCACAAACAAATTTTATTTGAACAATTTTCACAAAGTTTTGAATTTTTTACATTTTGTCAAATTTCTCGAATACGGACTATTTTAGGAAAATTTTGTATAGGACAAAAATAATAATATTTGAAGTAACTATAGTTTAAAGAATTTTCTTTTCCAAACTTAAATAACAGATATATTCCATAAAATATAAAAACGACTCTCTATAAAGTACCCCTCAGAGGTCCCGACTTTGCCCAAAATCTAATCAAGTCACCGTAGGCTGAAATAAAGCTTAAGTTTAATATTTGGTTTTTCTCTGTATCCGTTCATGAGTTATCGAGTATACAGACACACACAGCCACATGTGTGTTTATAAAATATTATACCGTTTATAAATAACACAAGTTATCAATCATGTATAACTTTGTAACACTACTGACCAAATAAGACTTACTGGGCATACACAGTACGAGGTCGTTGACTACACTTTTTTTAACCAATCATCAACACGTATTCTTGACAGGATAGGAAAATACATGTTGATGATTGGTTAAGGAAAATGTAGCCCGGTAACAGACATCGTTCTGTATATGCCGCGTTACAGGAATAAATTTCAATGAAAAATCCCATGACAACGGAAGAGCGTTCACATTTGGATTGCGTTGACTGTACATCATTTACTAAAAACCTCTGGTAGATTTTTCAAAACTAACGTACATTTTAAACCATTTTAGACCCTTTTAGGGCCATATATTCTTATGGTTTCCTATGGGTTTTGATCGATTTTTCATGGTGTATATCTATAGTGATAATTTTGACAACGTAATTGTGCAGCCAATCAAATTCTATTGACTCACGAAAACTGACACACATCGTCAAATGGCAAGTACGATTGACATACAATAGACATACTACGTAAATTTATAATCTTACTTATCTTAATTGTAACTCCTTTAGCATACGTCTATTACTGTTCAGGATATATTTTATCATTCAGAATGAAAGTGATGGATGCTGGCATCCAGTAAACTACAAAATAGTGAATATCGTAATTATATTGCACATCAAGATGAAAATACAGCCCTGGGCGCTATACACGATTTAATTTAAAAAAATCTTGTTACGATTGTCGCGAAACGACTTTTCCATAGAAATCCAAATCGAAACTTTATCGTAACTATTATTTTTCCGAACCGAATGCGATAATTCAATTCCGTTCCATTCTTGTTCCAATCAATCCGACGACTAGACGGTCCTTTAAAGTTTTCAAGCAGCCGAAGCACTCCAGGCTTTGGCACGTCTTGCTAGTTTCTACTAGTCTGGAGAGCGTTGCTGTGAAATCCTCTGAAACGAGATGACTCATCTAAGAGATTGGTTTTAAAGAGGTACCGCATTTTTATAATAAAAAAAATTAAGAACACTGTTGAGGAAAATCCAGTATTCAGAGCCAAAGCACGTTCACCAAAAAAAGATTTATATTATTAAGTTAATACCTTTTAAAATAATAATATTTTAGGCTCAATTACTTTGATATTGCTTTCAAAATGCCTTTGTTATTAGAAAAGTCAATCAAATATGCAAAAGTGCTAATACATTGTAACATGAATAGCTGGTTAATTTATTTACTTTGATATATGTGCTTGAGCTCAATTTATAGGGCGTGGGTTAGGTTTTTAAATAACTCTAATAACTTTGGAAAAGAAGTTGAGCACTACTATATTTAAAGCTCATACACTTAACTCTGCGTTAGTGATAAAAATATAGAAAATCACTAACCACTAACAAATTATACTTAAAAATGTTTTAGATAAGGTAGGTATCAAATTCTAATTTACATAAGTTTGCACATAATTCAAATTTAAAACAAATTATTGATTAGATCAATTGCACTTATCTGTGTGATAAATAAGGTAATATACAGTATGATAAGTTAAAGGTAAAAATCAGGCATTTCTTCCTTCGTCCCAAACTGCAGAGATACATCAATCTCTAAACATTATATACCACCAAGTGATTCGGGATTCTATTTCATAACTCTCATTCGAGACTCCTATTCGTGATTGAACCGTGAATGATCTTCAAGATATATGATTCTTATTTGTATTCGAACTCGAACCGTCTAGATTGCCATAGGCTAAAAAGGGTTGAAATGTTATGATAGATGAAGGGAAATTTGAAAAGGATTTAGATAAAATGCTTTAACTATTAAATAAATAATTTTACAGAGACTAAAATTTATATGAAAAGGAAAAATCTTTAATATATTTAAATAAAGTAAAGCATATCTTATTCCAAAAAATAATATATAATTTTATATAGAAGCTAATATGTGTCATTCATTGCAGATGTAGAGGTTATGTATAAAATTTGACAAATTGCTCGAGAAATCATTGAACAAAATATATTTTTAAAAACATAATATTAACAAAACGTACCTTATAAAATCAGACGATCATTAACATAAATTAACGTTGCTGTCTGTCAGATCAAATAAAAATGTCTCTGACTCTGACACAAAGCATAGACGACAAATGACATTTGACATATATTGTAAATATATTGTAAATATATTGTAAATATATTGTAAATATATTGTAAATATATTGTAAATATATTGTAAATATATTGTAAATATATTGTAAATATATTGTAAATATATTGTAAATATATTGTAAATATATTGTAAATATATTGTAAATATATTTTAAATATATTTACAATATATTGTAAATATATTGTAAATATAAATATATTGTAAATATATTGTAAATATATTGTAAATATATTGTAAATATATTGTAAATATATTGTAAATATATTGTAAATA